GGCCCCTCTGGGCTTGGGAGCTCATAGCCCCGGCCCCTCTGGGCTTGCCGCATCTGTTATGCTTGAGCCTTGGCACCTCTTTCATTCCAAATTAAGCACTGCATCCTTCCCTGCCAGGCCCAGCCCCCGGGATCCCACCATCCGGCTGCCAGGGGAGGGGCCCTCGCCCCAACCGCCTGGGCTTTCCAACCGCTCCCAACCCCTGGGAGCCAAGCCAAGCCAGGATTCCCTGCTCTGGACAGGAGAGGAATGCAGGCCAGGCCGGGCTCTGTCCACGGGGAGCCCTGTCACAGAGGGGCACCCAATGCCCATCCAGCCCTGGCCTCTCAGCTGGGGCTGGCTAGAGCCAGCTGGGATACAGGGCAGGGGACTTAGGTTCCCATCCCGCTGGGCACTGGGCTGAGTCTCACCAAACTCACTGTGAGGTGTTGTTAGAAGGTGACGCCTTGCACCTGCTCTGGGGGGCGGGGGGACAGAATCACATCTCTCATTTCAAGATACTCAGGCCAGCCAGCCCCTGGATTGACAGCACAATGCTTGCCTCCCCTAGCTGGGGAGAGAACCCAGGAGTCCCGGCTCCCAGTCTGCCCTGCTCTAACCACCGGACTCCTCCCCTCCCTTCCCAGAGCTGGGGACAGAGCTCAGGAGTCCTGGCTCCCAGTCAACTTCACAATCACTTAACCAGCATTTGGCGTCTTGGGGGATAAACTGGCCCCCGTTCCCCAGGCGATCTGGTGCTCCGAGACACAGGCTGTTCTCAGAGTCCTGGTGTGGGGGGGGGGGGGGGGGGAAAGGGGGTAGAGCCAGTCTCCCCTCAAGGCAGGGACCCAGCCCCTGAGCACACACATCCCCAAGGGCTCTGGGGCTGCAGTTCAGCTGTTCTGAGGCAGGCCGAGCTGGGCATGCTGCGGGCAATGCAGGGGGCAGGGTGAGTGCTCACCCGCCATGCAGATGCAGGTGAACTCCCCGATGCGGTCGAGGCAGGTGGCGTCGTTCTGGCAGGGCATGGACAGGCACTCGTTGATGTCAGTCTCACAGCGGGGACCCGTATAGCCGCGCCCGCACTGGCACTGGAAGGAGCCCTGCGTGTTCACACAGCGGCCAAAGTGCTCGCATGGGTTGGCACCTGCAGGGACGTGGCCAAGTCAGAGACGAGGCTGGGGCCAGACCCCCACAACTCCTGCCTCACCCCAATCCCAGCCAGGCCTCCCCAACCCCAACCCTGAGCAAAGGGCCAGGCCTCTAGCCACCAGGCTCCCCCGCCCCAATCCTGGCCTAGCCTCTCCCACCCCAACCCCACCACTGACCAAAGGGCAAGCTTCCCCCCCGCCTCGATCCTGGCCCAGCCTCCCCCACCCCAACCCCACCACTGACCAAAGGGCCATCAGGCCCCCCCACCCCGATCCTGGCCCAGCCTCCCCCACCCTATCACTGAGCAAAAGGCCAGCCCCCACTCCGATCCTGGCCCAACCTCCCCCACCCCGACCCCATCACTGAGCAAAGGGCCAGGCGCACTCAATCCTGTGCCAAGGCAGTGGGCCCCTCCTCACCGATAGAGCACTCATCCACATCCTGGTCACAGGCCCCCCCAGTGAAGCCTGGGGGGCAGGTGCAGATGGCCCGGCCGTTCACAGGGTTGGTGTCGCAGATGGCATCCTCATGGCAGGGGTTGCTGACGCAGGCATCATCCAGGTGGCACAGGAGACCTGGCAGAGGGAGGGAGTGAGGGGCGTGGACAGCAGTGGGGCAACCACCCTCCGGAAGCCCAGCTAGCCTGGCCCTCAGGGAGCAGAGTGCCAGCTCCATCCTGGAAGGCTAAGGCAATGCCCCTCATCCCTCCTCCCCACCCGCACACACCAACCC